TTTTCTACTGCTACGCAGACTAGTTGCTGCAATCGTATTCAAAGGTCAAACCATGTCCGACTACTGGTGGTCTCGACGCACGATTTTCCTGACACGACCCCTCGATCAAGCAACTAATTCACAATGGTCGACGGCATCACCATATCCTTGTCTACCTCGACCCCTCCGTTGGCATCGTATCGAAAATAAATTCCTTCTGGCATGGCGGGTATGGAAGGAAGCTTCACAGATCTTCGATCAACCCGAAAAGTCCTTGATCTGCTGAATGATGGAGGCGAATGGGTGCTTTGGGAGGTACTTGGTCGCGATATCAGCCAACTGGTGCTCGCTGGGCCGGTGGTGAAGAGTGATGTGTCCCCGCAGTACTAGCTCCCGGATGAAAAAGTACCTCAGGGCCACGTGCTTCGTGCGTTGAGAGTGCATGGCATTCCCGGCCACTGTCAGCGCTCCGGTGCTGTCGCTGTTGATGGGAACCGATCCGAAGGTCTTGAAGTTGAGTTCCGTCATAAAATTTGAGATGTAGACCGCCTCTCTGGCTGAGTAGCTTCTTGACAAATTAAACAACCATTTCCTGGGTAAAATGAGCGGGGGCCGTCTCGTGAGGAAGGCCGGACACTATCACTCACGTGGTAGTTGACAAATTAAAAACCAGTTAGTCTAGACTATAGCAAGATGAACAACACACCCTCGTGACACAACATATTGGTGAAATTGAGAGCGAAGCATGAAATTGAGAGCGAGAGCCAAAACAAAAGAAATTCGGGTCCAGATGCCTCTTGCCATTTCTTGGGAAGTAGGGGGCGGGCTCTTCCAAGAAGCGGCGCAAATTGAAGGTCTCATCAGCGGCGTCACGAGCATATGCGTGTCACCGTCATCAGATGCTGCAGCTAGGAGCTAGACAAGTTGCTAGATTTCCCCAGATTGGCTATTCCTGCCTCAAACTATTGCAGGGCGGTTTGGCCTCGGGCGGTGGGCTCTGCTGTAGCTTCTGCTCGCCGCTGTAACTCCACATCGAGGGACTCCCACAGGATGACCAGGGTATCTGCTTGTAGCTACGGGGTGGCCTTTCAATTAAAGCTACACAGCAAGCTCCACCTCTCAGCAGTAGTCCAGCTACAGCGCATCGCGCAATCTCGTTCTCAATCAGATGCTTCGCTCTCAATTTCACCAATGTGCCACTGGTGTTTATGTTTTTATTATTAGCATCGACCGCGCTAACCGGCTGACCAATGAAAAGACGTCAGTCTCAGTGCGGTTGAAAACACAAAACGCTTATTTTATCTGCCATGAACTGGGACCCCGTGAGGGGGCAGCATGGGGGTGTACTCATAGTCGTGCATGCCGTAGTCGTTAGACCATTGACCTCGCATCCCTACAAAGCCGGGACGGAGCACGCCGGGTTCTCACCGGACCAGGCTCTCACATCACCAAGCGCGAAGCGCCGTGAGATATTCGGCGAGTCGCATGAAGGGTGCGCTGCATCCTGCTAAGGGTTTTCGGCATCTTGTGCTTACTCTCTTGCGTACGGATGACAGCTGCGCANAAAGACGTCAGTCTTAGTGCGGTTGAAAACACAAAACACTTCTATCTACCATGAACTGGGACCCCGTGAGGGGGCAGCATGGGGGAGGCTAAACTATCCTTCGGATTAAAAACAGAAACAGCAGCAACAGACGAAAAATGCACGCGTCTACCAAGGCTATTACCTAGTACTCGAGTTCGTTTAGGAGTACTTTCACCAGTGTCCTCCTTGTTTTCGCTACCATCATTCTGATCCTCATTTCGACAAGAAGAATCTCTGGGCAGTTCTTCCCTAGCCCTACGTTTCTTGTTGTGGGGAAGGTCATCTGGCTCAAACCCTTTGCTCTCTTCCACTCCTCCATGCTTTCCTCCTCCATCGTCGTCTTCGTCCTCCTTTCTTCCCTTTCTCTTTCCTTCGTCTGCGTCACTCATAAAAGAACTACCCTCATTACTATCGTTGCCGCAGAGAGAGATCCCAACCGATTGGCCCTGGTGGAAGTTGGTCGATCAGTAGCCCATGACGTTTGAACACATCGCGAGTTCGCATCGACAGAAAACGAGCTAGCTCAGGTAAGCCGTCTCCGCGTGTGTGTGTGTGGTTACATATATACAAGCTGCACAGAGTCGCATACAATGAAGAATCGTCCTAGCCTACAGCGTCGACGAAATCTACGGTACAATCACTCGAGAATCGAACACACGTACGTCCTGTCGAAAAAGAACACACACACAACTACTACTGCACCCTTTTTTTCTCGCAATAATGCTCTACAATCCTAACCAAAAACGAACATGTCTACCAACAAAAGGCACCTGTCGCCGCTAGGAGACGACAGGGGAAACAAGCGATAATGACTGAGCGCCCCCAAACTTAGACAGGCGTTGTAGACAAATAGGGTACACGATCCGAAAAAAAAACGCACGGCCGCACCGTGGGATGACCGAAAAGGCTCCCAACTCACGAGTCCATGGAAAAAATTGGCATCAACCACCTGCTGCAGACACGCATTTCTCTAGGTTACCTCCTGCTCGACAAAGAAACGACTGCCAGGAATTAAAGGCAATCACCGCACGAAACGACTCCCTCCTCCTCGCTGACTCCACGAACAAAAAATCATTGCCCGCTGCGCCAACTCTATGTATGAAACCTCTGCTCGACAAACAAACCCCCGCGGGAAATTGAAGTCAAGCACCGCAGGGGGGGAAGGTGGAGAGGAACGAAGCAAAAACCCAGGGATTATACCTTTCTCCCGTCCAGGTGACTCAGGCTGGTTGGTGCGTCACGAACATACATGTGTGTACCGAACTGGCGTCCAGAAGGTACGGGACGGAAACAAGCGCCGAAAACTGGAACCAGAAAGTATGGGACAAATACCGAAAACTAGCGCCCAGAAAGTATGGGACCGAAACAAACAGCACACACATGGAGGAGATAGTTCTGCACAACCAAACAACTTGCCGAAGGTCTTAAAGCACCTTAGGCAAGCACTCCAAAAACAAGCACATATTATTCATGAACCGACAAAGGGCAAGACTCGACCACACTACACTGCCAGTATGCAATACCGAGCCAAGTCGAGGGGGCGGGGGGGCGGGGGCATCTGACCTATGTTGTTGACCACTCTGGAGACGAAACGATCAGCATTGGCCCAAACTACACTCAAGCAGGCTTCGTACGCAACACACAACCTTGACTCACCTGCCAATGCAGTTTGACAAGCAGATCTACTTTGCCGAGTCTACAACTTGCCGAGAGCACAGAGCAAGAGAAAGCAATCGCGAAGCAAGTTCCTCGTTGAAATGAACGAACGTAACGAGTGAGAGGTACATGGACGAGGCAAGAAGATTATCGCTCATCATCAAGTCCACCATGCATACCCACAACATTCACATAGCCCCCCCACGGGTCTGGTGGATCAAAACTGTGTCGAGTATCCCGCAAACAGCGAGCCGCACACACACATGGGTCACAAAATCATTCCAAACAGAAGAACATACCATTGCTTCGGCGCCACCATACAAAAAACAAACACAAAATTAAAAACCAGCACAGATAGATACCATAGACATATCAAGACAAGGACGCACGGGAGCGTCGACTTCTTTTGGGGATCCTTGTCTCCTCTGCTTCGGAATCTCTGCCCTCCTTTGAATGCAGCGTTTTGAACTCACGAGGAAAACCCGGCGTACCCCCACCCCCCCCCTCCCCAAATTATTTCCTCCGCCTAACCCCCAACTCATCCCGCTTCGCCCCAACCACGCCTCCCCCCTCCAATGGTTAGTACCCGATACGAGGCTTGCCCTCTCCACTAAGACCCACGTAATATTCATACACGCTCCCCAAGAACAACATACTTGCGGCGCTTTCAGTCTTCCCCTAACAGAAAACACCCATCGCCATGCAAACACAACCAAGTCACCCCACGCACAAAAAAAATCAACGGGGTCTTGTCCACGTGCTCCCCACCCTCAATCACTACCCACACCCCCGGCGTGCGCGATGTTCTCGCATGGGTAGCGCTTTTGGGTCTACAATGACGGAAAACCTAATCTCTCCGCCGAATCTGACCCATCCCATCCCTCAAGACCCCCAGCGGCCAAAGCTCGGGGATAGAGAATACCAAAACCATAAGATATAGTCTACTTCTATTATTTCGGACCCGGCAGGATGCTGTGTTGACCGATCCTTCTCGACAAGATCTCGCTGCTGGGCGAGCTACTCACGCCCGTCCGAGCCTCTAGAAAAGGCGAGCTATTACTCATTGCCGGTCCACGCGCGCCCTCTAAGTTAGCTACGCCTTGAGGCCTGTCTGTGTGGTGTGCCCTTTCTCCGACACGATCGCCTCCGCTGTCTATACCCAACCCCGTCGACACACCTAGCGAAACCAACCGGAAAAATGCGTTCCGCCTTTCCCGTTTTTTGAGGCCGGCCTCCCTCCCTCCAGACACGGGAATGTCCTCTAAATCTTCACCAGTCCGTCGATCTCTCAGCCCTATCGCATCGCCTTCTGTTGCCCTTCCAAGCCCAGCGGGGCGCTGGTGTGCAAAACCATCAACTTTATCGTCTTGAGCTTCTCCATTGACTAGACAAATCGCTCAATACTCAAAACCCTGCGCAAAGAACACGACATCTCTACAGTCTAATTACGGGGCATTACCCCCCCCCCCAAGAGCATGTAAAGCTCCGCTACACAAAGGGCCTACGCTATTCACAAGGGAAGCTACCTTCCGATGCAGAGCACGACTTCGCCTCTCAGCTGGGGCTACCCCCTGGAATCTGTCCTGATGTCTCATCCCGCCTCGCTGTTGGGCCTTTCGTTGGCGCTGGTCAAGTTTTGGTTGGCTTTTCGGCCTGTAACGACTCCTCACCTAATCGCTATGGTAGTCGCTGCTGGTGTCGGCGCATGTTGTCCGGCGTATTTTGCAACTCTCTTCTTTCACATCAAAACAACAGTAAGAGTGCCAGGTTCATTATCCCTGCTGCTTTTGTCAACCCTCCCGACAGCAGCAGCATCAGCAACATTGCTGGCCATCTCTTGTCAAGGTTTCACTTCATTGCTCTACGGCAGTGCGCACTTTCTCCCTCTGTAGTAGTGAGAACCACCTTCTTGCAAACTATTTTCCGTCCCGCACAGCACTAGCAGTGCCAACCGACGTCTCAACCCTCTGCAGTAGCAGCAGCTACGGGAACGGTGCCGGCGGTTTTGCTGCTGGCTCCGCCGCTCCCAGTCCCCCCGGTGGTCGCATCCTTGACCGTTGAATTGCCTGCTGCTGCCGTTGGTCCTGAGTTGCGCTCCGGCGGCGGCCTCGTGATCGAAGCTGCACAGGAACCATGAACCGAAGGACGACAAGCACGACACACGAGAAAGATGCGAGGGGTCAACGACATGTCTGACAGGAAAAATGCAAGCTAGAAGGGTGGGCAGAGCAAGCAGGCTTCGTACGGCCACTGCCCGCCAGCAGCACAGGTAGGCTACAGCAGGACTTATAGTCGTGCATGCCGTAGTCGGTAGACCATTGATCTCGCATCCCTACAAAGTCGGCACTGAGCACGCCGGTGGACAACAACAACAACAACAACAACAACAACAACAACAACAACAACAACATCAACAACAATAGATCCACCCTGACCTCCCTCTCCCTCCTTCTCACCCAGGTCTCCAACATCGGCAGGGCTAGTGGGCGGGGGGGGAAGGTCGACCACGATCACACTGTCCCCGCTCATGAAAGCCATCCCCTCCATCATGGCCTTCCGCATCACGCTAAGCCGTCGGCGCCCCCGGACCGTGGCCGACTTCGATAGGACCGCCGGGTTGTTGAGCTCTTCCACCATTCGGTGCACGTACTGAGGGTAGGCGTTATTTACGGAGGGGGGGGGAAGGGGGGCGGGGCGTACTTATGTTTCGAATGCCCTAGTTGTAACGCCACTGACCACGCGTCCTCGAGAGGACGGAGCTGGTGGGGGGGGTGGGGGCAAAGAAACAATTTATGGTCGTCCCTCGGCTAAGAATACCATTCTCAAGGACACTCACCTGGTCAAGAAGAACATTTTTTTCACAGGCATGCCGGCTTGCACAATGTACAACGTAAGGAGGGGTATTAACCCCAAGGACACTTCCCCGGCTTATGGACACCTGGTTTATCGAAAAAACGTGTGCTTCCCTAACCGAGGGACGACTGCAATACTGCTGTGGATGTCTGTTTGGATTCGTAAGCGAGCTGTTGCGTCACAGGGACAGAGGGCAGGACGAAGGCATCGAACGCGGCAATGCAATCAGTGTCCTTTGGCGGCAAAGGTGCCGGCCAAAGCAACCTCGTTCTTCCCCTGAGCATGCGGGTAGGGTGCCTTCATTGCTGCACGGGACCCCCCACCCCGCCTATAAATAATCCCGTGTGCGGTTCCCCTATGTATGACCCCGGCCGATGTATCAGTCTACAGAGGAACATTGTTTTGAAACGTAGAAAATACTGACACCCAGAATGAACGCGACGATACAAGTACACGAGAACGCGCTTATCGAGGTGTCGCAAGGCAGACCATAGCTACAAACGCGCCCGCGGGCCGCCGCCGCGTCCGCGTTGTCGCTGAAGCATACCCGTGTATCACTACAGCAAAGGGGGCCCCTCAATACTGCGGGTGAAATAGCGACACTGCCCGTCATAGTGCCGGTGAAATCGCGTGACATGGATGAAGTATTCGACTTGTGTCATTCTATGAGGAGTGCCGAGTGCCCGGCCGGTATAACGCCGGTGGACCTGGCGGGCACTACTGAGGGACCCCCACTGTAGGGTGTGCGCGTCACAACCAGCGCACTGTAATGCACCCCCGCATGCCGCAACGATCTCCGCCGAGGAACCATTTACTCGCTTGTCTCCACTTGTGCGGGCACAGAGGTCCCTGTCTAGTGCCGATTGATATTGTTTTTCACCCGCACCAACCCGGGACACCCGCACAACTTAATCCATAACGTCAACCTTGATGGTCTCTGTTGTGCCAGCCAACGTCACCCGCGCAAAAAATTCATGTGAACAGCCTTGATCCAGTTATGTCTGTCAGCATAATTCCACCCGCACTACAACAGGGACCTCTAATACATGCGGTAAAGAAGCGCGTCGTGCACCACCTGCTTTACCTTCCTCTCGCCCTTGCCGATGCCGTCCGGAAAGCAGGCCTCGTGGACGTCCTCGCTCACCACCTTGTCCACCCAGGCCGCGCAATACGCCTTGAACTCCTCGGTGATCTCGGTCACCGCTGCCTTGGACTTCTTCGAAACGGCTGTCCGTTTTTTGGGGGGGCGGGGGGGTGTACTCATCTCGTAATCGTGCATGCCGTGTCGTTAGACCATTGACCTCGCATCCCTACAAAGCCGGGACGGAGCACGCCGGGTTCTCACCGGACCAGGCTCTCACATCACCAAGCGCGAAGCGCCGTGAGATATTCGGCGAGTCGCATGAAGGGTGCGCTGCATCCTGCTAAGG